CACTTCTCACTCAGGAGCAAGTACGCTTGTCCCAAGGCCAAAACAACGACCCCCATAACAACACCTCAAGCAACGACTACAGCCGTGGCTCCAACGCCACCACAGCCTCGACCAGTCTTCACGCTCAAGACAATCACTATACTCCTTGGATGTATCCTGTAAGTAGAACATAACTAAGGGAAATAATGAAATTCTGGTAGTTTACTCGAACATTTGGGTTTAACGTCGCTTTGAACAGTATTTCAGTAATATCACGGCGGTTTAGCTTGACGTAGGGGAAACGCCTGAAGTGATTGCGAAACCAATAAGCTGAGAAACCATTGATTATAATCTTGAACCCACGATCATAGGATCCTGGCATGACTAAGGGACGTAACTCTTTACAAGATTCCCTTATTTGTTTCAAAACTACACAAAAAGACGAAATATATCAAAAAGTGTAAATTCAGGATTTCTCTTGCACACACAGTGAGTGAGTGAGTTAAAAGTTAACGTTACATCGGGAATATTACAGCCATTTCGTTACGAGTAAGGGGCGGTCGGGTAGCCTGGTGGTTAAAGCGTTCGCTCGTCACGCCGAAGACCCGGGTTCGATTCCCGACATGGGTACAATGTGTGAAGCCCATTTCTGGTGTCCCCCGTCGTGATATTGCTGGAATATTGCTAAAAGCGGCGTAAAACCATACTCACTCAATCGTTACGAGTACACATGCATGAAGTACAGCGAAGTATTGCGGATCTTAGATGTTTATCAGGAAATCCATGAGCAAGGGAATTGTGCTTTTATGCCAAGGTTCATAATCCGGGCGTAGAATGTATTCCAATCAACAATCAGCAGATGCGTGGAAGGTTAAGAGGCACGGATTCGACCCCCGAGATGCGGCACCTTAGACACTGGGCCACCCGCGTCTTCTTAGAGTGAGTTTAACGTGACGCTTTGAACGGTGCTTCTATCACATCACGGCTTGTCACATTAATGTGGGAGGAACGCTCAAAAGTAACGCGTGTCTTGGACATTTTCCTCTTTTGTGGAACCCATGAAGATGGTGCTGATGCCATTCGACCAGCAGATCCTTGTACCGTAAATTTAAGGTACACACCTCTGCCCGGCGATAGGCGGTCAGTGGACGCTCGTCGACTGTCGTGATGGTGATGATGATAATGATGATGATGGTGATTCTTTTTGTATCTTTCAGCGTGTGCCTCTGCCTCCTGATATGTATGGTGTTCCTTGGCCTCTTGACAAGACAGTCAAGTACTGGCGAGACTCACTTTGACGAAAAGAAAATGAAGTTCTAATCCTGAAAGAATGCCTTTCTATGCTTGAAGATGATATCGGGAATGTGTTGTAAATGGAGAATAAATAATATTTTAGCTGAAAAACCTGTCTTCCTTTTAAAATCATATAATAAGATAATGCGAATGCGATATTCTCTCTAGATTAATTATGCTAGATTATTTCTGAATTATACGCTCTGATGGATACTTTCATATCTTTGTTCTATTAGCAAGGCGTTCTTTGTTTGAAATAATGTGTATTGCTCATTGTTACTCAAGCCTTAAGTCACCATGGAGACTGAAATATATTGCAAGTGCTACACTTAACTTAATAGTGAGTGAGTGAAATTGATTTAACGCCGCTTTTCAGTTATACATGTATCACGGCATGTCAACTTACTGTTGGAGGAATTATTAATTCGAACCCACGACCAACGGATCCTGGCCGAACTAAGGGACGTAACGAAGCATAGCAAATTCCGGCGCCCCATGCGGACCTGGGTTGTAAATGGTCCCCATTAACTACTCTATTACTGGTCGAAAGACCCATAAAGATCCGGGGTAGAATAGGTCTTCAGCACCCTATGCTTGACGTAAAAGGCGACTATGCTTGTCGAAAGACGCGACTAACGGGGTCTGGTGGTCAGGCTCGGTGACTTGGTTGATGCATGTCATTGTATACCAAAGGTGTGGGGCGTTGCTCATGATATCAGCCACTCGTTCCAGGCTCGATTACTTACATGATGCTGTGGGAATATTGTTTATTGTGGCGATAAAACGACATACATCTTTCCACATCAACCACACATATAATGATCAATGTAGAGACAACCGAAATGTTGACTGTGTGAATCCAAAAGGCGTGGATCAAATGCTCACGATATCGACCACTGTATCGTGTGAATTACTTTACCAAACGCGGTGATATCACTACAAACGTGACCCTATGCACTACGGGTTTATCTTTACAGCCATAGGCTGTGGTGGTAGTCACTATGTTACACTAGTCACTATCGTCTTGACTGAGAGCCACTGTTTTGTTTGAAGCAAATGCAAGTGATACGAAACGTGGAATCTGATTGGTCTATAAGAGAGGCTTAGAAGGGACATAACTCGTAATAGCCACTCGGTGGCGCTACGACAGAACCCAGGAATTCCGGCCTATTCGTCACCACTCGCCCTTTTCCGTAACCTGCAAGACCACTCGTCCCCCTATCGATGAATGTTATGTGCGAAAATACGACAAACCAATCAGAAAGCGCGTATGATTTCAAGTTCTTCGTCAAAGAATCCCTCAGAAATCATTTTTGATTTTACATATGTCTTGCATCTAAAAATATACCCAAGGCACAGTTAAATGTGTTCAATCATACTGTATAATTCCGCATGTCCAGATGTGCTTTAAATTGCATCTGAAATATATATAATATATGGGGAAATATATGTGAACCATAACGCGACGAGTTGACAATTATTTTAGGTATGCCCGTTTGTGCTAAGACGGAACCCGGTCGCAAAAATGGCCACGAGAGGGGCACGAGTCGATATTCGGCTTGTCCCGGAATAACACGAGTTGGTCACGAATGATTCCAGCCTAGTTCGGCAAGGGTGGAAACTGGACATTTATAGTCAGTTAACTCTCTTGCCTCGGGAAGATGTACAACAGCCAGATGGTAGCTTGACCATGTGACAGCTCGATGAACAAATTTAAGTATGTATTCCCCATGTGAAGCGGTGGCCTCAAAGCACAAAATAGAAAATTGTGGAGGGCACGAGCCACGTGAGAAATACAATGACATCCTCTTACCCATTATGCATTAAAATAAGTGTTTGTTGCCCGACACCGTACAACAGTACGTCGGCATGTAAACACACCAGACATCCAGTTGCTGACCAGCAATTCAGCCACACAAAAACACATTTACAGATTTTGTTGAAATTAAAAATTATGTCTGCTTTGTACGCAGAGATTCTGCTGCTGATAAGTAAAGACAAATCGTTCAAGAAACATGTTCGTTTTGCAACACAGTTGGCAATTCTTATGTCTCGGCCCAAACATGTCTATAGCAGCTGACTCAGCACGTGTGATAAATGCTACTGAACTTTGCTCAACAAAGTTTGTTTGTTGTTTAACTGTATGACGGCGGTCTGTAAGTAATCGAATCTGGGCCAGACAATCCAGTGATTGACACCATGAGCATCGATCCAAGCAATTGGGAATCGATGACATGCATCAATCAAGTCGGCGAGCCAGACCCCCCGACCCCGTTAGTCGCCTCTTATGACAAGAATGGTCACTTTTTACGGCATGCATGGGTTGCTGAAAACTTATTCTACACCGGATCGTCACGTTTCTTAACGATCAAAGATGAATATATTGAATAGAGGGCTTGCTGTTTGTTTGTGGTGGTAGTTGCAATCTCATTAACATCAGATCTTAGTTCTCGCTACCGCCAAGCAAAGATCTGATGTCTTCCCATTAGGGGTCACGTCAGAACGACCTTTCATCCGACCAATCAGAGCGTCGCTTACCAGATCATGAAAGTGACAGTCGGAATGTGATTTCTAATCATGCAACCTCGAAAACTTTGACATGGGGTATTCCGAACGATAGTTATGGGCTTAAGGACTGAATCCATACAATCTAGACCATCTATTAGCCATTTCAAAATGTTCTTTTGTTCAGGTTTCAAATTTTTTATCGAGAATTTGTCAAAATACGTTTTGAAGCGTAGTCGCTTATTTGAAATAAGTGCCTTAAAGCATGAAAAAGCTCCCTTCTGATTGGCTAATATCGACTTCTTGTCAGTCATTTCATTGTTCGGTCAAAGTTCGCGCAAGGTCGGTCTGACGTGAACCGGAATGGGATGTCCTCAGATCTTTGTTTGGCGGTAGCGAGAACTAAGATCTTATTTTAATGAGATTGTGGTAGTTGTAGCCACCAGGAGGGTAAAGCATAAATTAATTATACAGAAATAAAACGACGATTATCTACCAAAGTAGTATAAGTGAAGCTTATTGTTGGTGTCATATGGCTGGAATATTGCTGAAAGCGACCAACACATATTCAAGATAACATTAGAAAGGGTTGTTAATAAAAGTAAAGTCTTTCTCACAGTCCCCGAACCATATTATTTTCCCTTCCGCCAGACCCTTACTGTAATGCGAAAGTCCTAAATTAAGCAAGTCTAGATTAGATACTGATTCTCCCATCTCACTGTGGATACTTTTCGATTTTAATGAAGCTGCTTGTTTCTATCAATTTTATATATTTTCAGAGACTTTAGAGCGTTTTCAGAGCGTTACACTATCAAATTAACTGCAGCTGTTTTTATTGGTTGATTGGTTTGTTGTTTTACGCAATATTTTTCAGCAATATTCCAGCTATATGACGGCGATCTGTAAATAATCGAGTCTGGACCAGACAATCCAGTGATTTACATCATGAGCATCGATCCACGCTATTGGGATCGTTGACATGCATCAACCAAGTCAGCGAGCCTGGCCACCCGATCCCGTTAGCTGCCACTTACGACAAGCATAGTCGCCTTTTACGGCAAGTATGGGTTGCTGAAGACCTATTCTCACCCGAATCTTCACGGGTCCTGCTTTTATCAGAATATCCCTTACGCTATCACGACACAACTGTTATCTCGTATTCCTCGTACTTCGTCATTATCACATGTCCGACATTCAGAAAAGTTCGTGCGATATCGATATGTTCTGTATCAACAACTCCGCTATATACAAGATATACGCGGAAGATTTCTAACTGTCATATCACGAAGGTCGTCTCGTGACTGCCTCATCTGTGCATTAATACACGTACGGGAACATTTCGTCCTCCAAAATGAAGAGTGACAACATTTTGGCACTATTTCTCGCCGTTGTTCTGGTGTCTCCGTGTTTTTCTGTGGAGCCATGTGTACAAGTCTCCCCGTGCTCATGTGAGAGCTCCGAAGGCCTGATTGACCTCTCACCTCTGGCCAGACATGACGGCACGCCTGAGTATGTAAACTTATCAAACAGTCGCCATGTAAATAAACAGTTAAACCTTGTTAATATGGACCTTGTTAATCCAATAGCACATTACATACGAAAGATAGTGATAAAGGTCTACATCTAGTGTCCGATACCGCTAAGATTAACGAGGTTTCTGTACAGTGTTACATTTTTAAAATGTCAGTATAAAGTTAAGGTAGTGTTAAGGTACTGTTTGTTTGATTGTTAGTTTGTTCGTTTGTTGTTTAACGCAGCATTCGGAAATAGTCCGGCGATCTGTATAAATATAAAGGAGTCTAGACTGTTAAGGTAGTGAATAAACTGATATGATTATATCGGGGTAATTAATGAACTATTACGTTATTAATACGTTAAATATACATAACTGGTAAGTAAGTATGTGTGTGTGTGTGATAGAGGTGTGTATATGTGTGTGTATTTGTGTGTGTTTCTGTCTCTGTGTGTGTATGTGTGTGTCTCTGAGTGTGTGTGTGTGTGTCTCTCTCTCTCTCTCTCTCTATATATATATATATGCATATGTGCGTGTGTGTGTGTGTGTGTGTGGGGGGGGGGGGGGGGGGGGGTAACGAGCAGGTATGCTGGACACTGTATGTATATAGATTTATCATCCAAAACTGGCTCCCACAGGAGATATGGCTTGGATGAGATCAAGCGATATCTACACTGTAGATATCGCTGCAATGAAATTACATCACAATGCTTTGCAGACCATTGTGACGTCACTGGTTACCATGACGTCACAATCAAATGACATCACTAATGGCTCTGCTACTGAAGCTGTTTGCAGTACTTTTTACACTGAAGACACTGCTAATTACTGTCTACAAATTGAAAAAGTTGAAAGAATGATGTTGGATGATAAATAAAATCTCACCCTCGTGTCTTTTGATATCAAATATATCAACACTCGTTGATAAAAGTGGCAAAAATCCTCGGCAAGCCTCGGATTTTTCCACTTTTATCAACTCGTGTTGATATATTTGATATCAAAAGACACTCGGGTGAGATTCTCTATATTGATACAGACATGTCAAGTTAGCTGCGCGCTTGGGTCAAATGCGCAAAAACCCCGAGTTCAACCAGAATGTTTAAATATTCAGTAGATTTTGTCACCCCATCCAAAAGTCTCTCTCGACAAGCACATCAACCGAAGACCGACACTTCCCATTAAACCACATAAATGTAATTTTTACTTTAAAAAGGTCATGTGTGTCGTATTTTAATGTATTGTTAAATCGATTCATTTTTAGCCCAAACTAATCTTAATTCTCAAATGTACTTACTGAAGACAGTGTTATTGGTCTATATAAGATAATAAATCACAAATGAAATTCCTAGTCTTCAGGACATCAAAAAGTACACCTTCAGAATGGAAAATAATTCTACGTTACTCTGACAGGAGGTCCTTTGTCTATGTTTCATGTCTACGTTACTCTGACAGGAGGTCCTTTGTCTATGTTTCATGTCTACGTTACTCTGACAGGAGGACCTTTGTCTATGTTTCATGTCTACGTTACTCTGACAGGAGGTCTTTTGTCTATGTTTCATGTCTACGTTACTCTGACAGGAGGTCCTTTGTCTATGTTTCATGTCTACGTTACTCGCACAGGAGGTCCTTTGTCTATGTTTCATGTCCACATTACTCGCACAGGAGGTCCTTTGTCTATGTTTCATGTCCACGTGAGTCTGAAAGGAGGACCTTTGTCTATGTTTCATGTCTACGTTACTCTGACAGAAGGTCCTTTGTCTGTGTTTTATGTCTACGTTACTCGGACAGGAGGTCCTTTGTCTATGTTTCATGTCCACGTTACTCTGACAGGAGGTCCTTTGTCTATGTTTCATGTCTACGGTACTTTGACAGGAGGTCCTTTGTCTATGTTTCATGTCTACGGTACTTTGACAGGAGGTCCTTTGTCTATGTTTCATGTCCACGTTACTCTGACAGGAGGTCCTTTGTCTATGTTTCATGTCTACGGTACTTTGACAGGAGGTCCTTTGTCTATGTTTCATGTCCACGTTACTCTGACAGGAGGTCCTTTGTCTATGTTTCATATCCACGTTACTCTGACAGGAGGTCCTTTGTCTATGTTTCATGTCCACGTTACTCTGACAGGAGGTCCTTTGTCTATGTTTCATGTCTACGTTACTCTGACAGGAGGTCCTTTGTCTATGTTTCATATCCACGTTACTCTGACAGGAGGTCCTTTGTCTATGTTTCATGTCCACGTTACTCTGACAGGAGGTCCTTTGTCTATGTTTCATGTCTACGGTACTTTGACAGGAGGTCCTTTGTCTATGTTTCATGTCTACTTTACTCTGAAAGGAGGTCCTTTGTCTATGTTTCATGTCTACGTTACTCTGACAGGAGGTCCTTTGTCTATGTTTCATGTCTACGTTACTCTGACAGGAGGTCCTTTGTCTATGTTTCATGTCCACGTTACTTTGACAGGAGGTCCTTTATCTATGTTTCATATCCACGTTACTCTGACAGGAGGTCCTTTGTCTATGTTTCATATCCACGTTACTCTGACAGGAGGTCCTTTGTCTATGTTTCATGTCCACGTTACTCTGACAGGAGGTCCTTTGTCTATGTTTCATATCCACGTTACTCGGACAGGAGGTCCTTTGTCTATGTTTCATGTCCACATTACTCGCACAGGAGGTCCTTTGTCTATGTTTCATGTCCACGTGAGTCTGAAAGGAGGACCTTTGTCTATGTTTCATGTCTACGTTACTCTGACAGAAGGTCCTTTGTCTGTGTTTCATGTCCACGTTCCTTTGACAGGAGGTCCTTTGTCTATGTTTCATGTCCACGTTACTCTGACAGAAGTTCCTTTGTCTATGTTTCATGTCCACGTTACTCTGACAGGAGGTCCTTTTATGTTTCATGTCTACGTGAGTCTGAGAGGAAGTCCTTTGTCTATGTTTCATGTCTACGTTACTCTGACAGGAGGTCCCTTGTCTATGTTTCATGTCCTTGTAACTCTAACAGGTTTGTCGAACAGCCGGATGTTAAAGGTCAGTGGTTCTACTCCTACAACCCGTGTTTCGCCTTCACAAACGGAGGAGGATGTACAAACGTCGCGGTAAGACCTCAAGTATTATACAGTAGTTTGAGAGAGGCAAAATAAATATATAAGATCGATAGTTATGCTTCTTAACGTTAGGGCTTCAACGAGTACTCGAGTACTCGGGGCCGGGTCGATTTTAGTGGGACTCTAGCCCGTTATCACGGACTCGAGTACTCGATAAGGGGAGATCACTCTGTTTTGCTTGTTTCATGTTACAGTTGCACCGTTCAAAAACTTGCACGCCATTTGCATTGGCAATGGAGAGGCCCAGGGATAAAAAATCAAACGTGTGGGTACATTTTGAGTTAGACAGTGTTAAAAAGAAAACTAAATACCGTTTGTGTGGCCATATCCTTAGTTACACTGGCAGCACGACTAGCACAATGAGAAAACATCCAACGGAGCAAGTGGGCATCCAATCAGTGCCAGGATTCGGTGATCGTTGGGTTTCACCGCTAATGACCCGTGGTCTGCCAGCACTATACCCACGATCGTGGTTTTCTTGAACAACAATACAGTGGTGATAGATATCCAGCTGACCCGCCGTGTTGTAACTTCATTGTGGTACTATGGCCTGGTTTGTTTCTCATCACAATGATTTGCTTCAGATGGAGAGGTCGCTGGGAAGCACACACAAACACACACACGCACACACACACACACGCACGCACGCACGCACGCACGCACGCACGCGAGGCACGCACGCACGCACGCACGCACGCACGCGAGGCACGCACGCACGCACGCACGCACACACACACATATAAATATATATATTGCTTTGGTTGTGTTGACAGGAGGGGAATATGGTTAGCAATAAGAATCTTCAACTCGCGAGTTATGAATTTTGAACGTTTTGAAATTGTTCAATATCCGTATAACAAGGCCTGTGTACAGGGTGTTGAGTACACAAACGACGGACAACAACGGACAGGTCATCCTCAATCTAATGCGACAAATTACAGAAGCGGTAATCTTGAACATTACGGCACTAGCTTCAAAATGTGATTTCCATTCCAGATTAGTTTCGAAAAATATTTTGAAAAAGTTCTCTTTTCTGAACAAAAGAAACTTATGGAATGTTTAATTCCAAGGGGCTCTGGAAAGACTCTGGCTCAAATGTCTATCCATTTGAAGCATTCGATAGATGATGATTGTCGTTCGGAATGCCTCGTTGAGGTTGCATGTATAGAACACCTTGTCGGACTTTCACTTTCGTGATCTCGTTAACGACGCTGTGATTGGTCGGATGAAAAGAGGGGGCACGGGTGGCCCAGTCGTCTAAGGCGCCGCGATTCGCTGTGCAGAGTTGCGTACCTTTGGCACGCCAGAAACCTATGATTGTGGGTTCGAATCCCGTTTCGCCCTGATTATGTTTCTAGGTTTGTCAGCACCATGCCCGTGCTCGTGGATTTCACCGAAGTGGTAAACGTCTAAGACCTGCATCACTTCGGGCTTTCCTCCCACATTAAGCTGACACGCCTTGATATAACTTGAATACTGTTAAAAGCGGCGTTAAACCCACTCACTCACTCACTCGGATGAACGGTCTGTCTGACGTGATCTGTAACAGGATGTCCACAGATCTTTATGTAGCGGTAGCGAGCACCAAGGTCTTGTTTTAATGAGACTGATCCACTGTATAATTGCATTTATTTATACAGGCGTGTCAGACAGACATGACCGGAAGCTACTTCAGTCTAGGAACTGAACAGTCTGCAGTCTTCATGCGTGATCCTAACAATAACGTCCAGATACGATACACCTCCACTACCGACACAACAAGGTAAACCAATTAAAGTTATATCGGAATTAGGGCTATAAAATTCAGATTTAAAAGTCAAACAAATCTCGATATTTGTTTGTTGACGGAGACCGTAGTTTCAAGTGAGCTTGTGATATACGCATTTTGCAGCATCTTAATATTGGCACTTTGCCAGTAAGTTGACCTTGTTCAGTTGGTGTAGATGTCATGCAGAAGAAGGCAAATAGTTAATACGAATATCATAATTGGAAAGGACCGCCTCCGTGGTCTAGTGGTAGAGCGTCCGCCCGGAGAGCGGAATGGCCGGGGTTCGTTCCCCGGCCGCGTCATACCAAAAGACGTTAAAATATGGTACTTGTTGTTACCCTGTCTGGCGCTCAGCCTAAAGGTCTAAAACAAGGACTGGTCGGCTCGGAGTCAGTATACTGTGTCTGAGTGGGGTATTCATTCGCCTTATTGTATTCATCAAAGTAAAATAAATCCAACAGTTATCAGACAATACATTCGCAATGTATAAATATTATTATATCCCGAAATATAAGTGCGGGGGTATATGCCAAGGAATTCCGTCCGTCCTTAATTTTTTTGTGCTACCCACCTTGAAATTCTTTTCCAATTGGGGGCACAGTTTCTATGCCAATAGGAGAGGTGCAGTGCAAAGTTTGATTTCGATAAATGGATTTTCTGAGTCGAAGTCGGGGGTATTAGTGTGCCCAGCTCACTTTTTGTCTTGTTACATTTGGATTGATCTTTGAAAGACAGAATTTGTTTCAGTTTTGATCATTGAAAGACAGAATTTGTTTCAGTTTTGATCATTGAAAGACAGAATTTGTTTCAGTTTTGATCTTTGAAAGACAGAATTTGTTTCAGTTTTGATCTTTGAAAGACAGAATTTGTTTCAGTTTTGATCATTGAAAGACAGAATTTGTTTCAGTTTTGATCATTGAAAGACAGAATTTGTTTCAGTTTTGATCATTGAAAGACAGAATTTGTTTCAGTTTTGATCACTTAAAGACGGTATTAGTTTCCGATTTAATAAGTTAAAGACATTATTAGCTTCAGATTTGATCACTTTAAGACTACTAGGTTCAGATTTAATCAGTTTAAACAGTTTAAGTTTCATATATGATCACTTAGGGACAGTAGTATCTTAATATTTAATACATTTTAAGTTTCAGATTTTATCAGTTACAGATATTATTAGTTTCAGATTTGATTACTGAAAGACATTTTAAGTTTCAGATTTGATCAGTTAAAGATATTATTAGTTTCAGATTTGATCAGTTAAAGACAGTAGTAGTTTCAGATTTGAAAACAGTGCCAAACAATGATCAACTCATTTTCCTAATCTAATTTAATTGCCCAATGATGATACAACAGTAGATCTGCTGCAAACTTAGGTATCCTCTTCATGTTGACTTGCGAAGGGAGATAACCAAGGCTTGCTAAGTCCTGAGAATCATCGTCTGGAAATATGATTGAGTGTGTATTTGTTCCGGTTCATCGAGGTATGATGTACTGTGTGTACTGTGTGTACTGTGTGTACTGTGTGAGTCCCCTTTACTTGCGCTTTGTTGGATTTGTGTTGAAAGCAGTCCGTCTCTGTGGGCGTGGCTTATTCTTTCACATAAAAAGATACTAAATGGCAACGCGAGACAACCAGTGAACTGTATGTTTGTTGTTTGTTGTTTAACGCCGCACCAAGACATATTCTATCTATTCTGATCTGGATGGCCAATCCAGTGGTTGACATCACATGTGTCATGAGCATCGATCCACGCAATTGGGACACGATGACATGCATCAACCAAGTCAGCGAGCCTGACCACCCGATCCCTCTAGTCGCCTCTTACGACAAGCATGGGTTGCTGAAGACCTATTCTAACCCAGATTTTCACGGGTCTCTACACAATTAGGACACGATGACATGCATCAACCAAGTCAGAGAGTCTGACCACCCGATCCCTCTAGTCGCCTCTTACGACAAGCATGGGTTGCTGAAGACCTATTCTAACCCAGATGTTCACGGGTCTCTACACAATTGGGAAACAATGACATGCATCAACCAAGTCAGCGAGTCTGATCACCCGATCCCGTTAGTGGCTTCTTTATTACGACAACCAGAGAACTGATAAAGTTCGGCTGAGATGATGAAGTAATGTCGGCTTGTTCGATACTGGATTTCCAGTTGACGGAGCACTGTTTTTTTATATTTATGAAATGTAACTTGGTCGTTTCAGAACAACCTTTGTAACTCTCATATGTGACCCGAACAGCGTCCAGAACTTGACGGTTTTAGGAGAATACCCTGATGGGAGTGGTACTTATGTAAGTAACGCACGATACCTTTTGTATCGACCAGGACCAATCAGCTTCTACAATGGAATGGATCCGTCTCTTCTACACTATAATAACGTGCAGTGAGAGTGAGAGTGGATATAAATTTCTGATTGATTCCAGATTATTATTATTACATTCGGTCAAATATAAATAATTATTGAAAACTATACAACTCCTTACCAAAATTGTTTTGTTAATTGTCTTTGAAAAAGATTGCTGGATATATTACTAAGGTGATGTTACGACAACATACAGAACATCTTAACAATAATAACAGTAGTTCATTAAAACAATATACAGAACAATTTAAAAAAAATCATTGTTTCTTCTCTTATTGTAGAAAGCAAAAAGCATATACCGTTTTGAATTATTCAGTAAAATATGTCATTCCCGAAAACCCGGACATTCCTTGTCATATTGCATGGTTCATTGAAATGTAAGCCTTTTGTCCACGATTGTCTAGCATAATATTATTATATCGCAATTCTACTGGAATACACCGTGGACCCTCGTACTAGAGTGACGTCATCATCTCCAACCTTCTTATCTGTAACTTCACACAGAGTTTCTCTCGCCCATAACTGTAATTTGATTGGTTGTAAATTTAGTCGAAACGGACTCAAAACGAAGCTATGGTTCTAGGGTATCTATCATAATAGGATGGAGATAAAATACAATCTATTATCGACTATTCCTTTGACTTGATGAGATAAGCATCGCAGACAACAATGATAACACTATGAATTCAAAATTCAAACTTGGAAGCTGATAATGCATTATATAATATCTCCCACTCGACGTTTCATGGATGTTCCATAATACAATGATGCACTTTCGTCAATGACACTTACCGTGATATTTCATTTGTCCAGCATTTTACACTGACGAGCATCTATGCTTGTCCCCGAGGTCAAACCACCACCACAACGACGACAACGACAACAGCTTCTCCGACGCCAGCTCCGAGGCCAGCCCCAACGCCATCCCCGTCTCCCTTCTTTACAATGAAGACTGTTATCATATTGCTTGGATGTGTCATGTAAGTCAATACACCATATTCAATGATGGAATCGTCACTAGTCACTGTCAGATAAGCCAATTGAAATCTTTATGGCTTAAATTAAGGATTATTTTGAGAAGAATTTGCGATGCTGTTATTAAGGTAGCCAGTTATCGATGTATTAAACTAGAGGGGAAAACGAAATAGATACTTAACCTGTGGATGATAACTTGATTTAATTAAGCTTACAAATCGGTTCACAATCGTATTTCCTTCTGTGAGTAGGTTGGGTTTCACGTCGCTGTGAACAGATATATTGGTTTAATAAGTTAGGTAAGCCTGAAGTGATACAGGTCTTACACGTTTGCCATTTTGAGGTTATCCTTGAACATGAACCATGGGTCATAATCAGGGCAACTGTAGTATCCGAACCCACAACCAGCATACCCTTCTCCTGCACAGCGACATGAGGCGTCTTAAACCATTGGGGCGTCCATGCCCACCTTAAAGGGGAAGTGTACAAATAAAAAATGACTTTCTTTCTTTTTCTAAACAAATCGCAATTTTAGAATTAATTAGTATCTGTGTTTGAAAATATACACTAATTTTTTTTCACAGTGAAAGTAGGAAGCTCACAATAGTGTTAAAATGATATGCCGTTATGAGGCCTTCGTTTTACGAGCGAAATAGGCCTGAGTTATCCCCCTTAGATTATGACGTAATTGGTGCCAATTCAACTGGGTCCCTGTCTATTCTCAACGCAAAAGATATCAAGGACCAGTTTGCGGTAAAACAACATGGTCTACGACACACTCCGGCGCAGTAGTGACTCAGCATAACACAATTCTGGCTGGCATCTGAGACGCTAGAATCACAAAACTGTACCTACACCACGTGAAGCGGCTCTAACAAAGCATGATGACGTCATAATGTTTATCAATTGGCACCAATGACGTCATATTGCAAGGGGCATAAGCCATGGTGTTTTTGTTATGGAAATAGAACACTTGGTAAATGTGAAAAATATAAATCGTTTTAATGCAAAAAATATGTTAATTAAATATGATGTTTTTATATTTTTGTCTATGACACTTCTATGTTAACACTTTTAATGTGGAAAAAGTACAAGAAAAATTGGTTCATTTCCGTGTGAACTTGCCCTTTAAGGGGCATTGTATGGTGTAGCCAAACCAAGAAACATAAATAGAGCTTTCAGGAATCGTACCGCGACAATAGATTTCGGGTCGAACTGTGGCGCCTTAGACAACAAGGCCACACTTGTCCCATATTCTATTTTGATCACAACGATGACTGTCTTTTTCGTTTCTTTCAGAGGCTGTCTATTCATTCTGATATGTCTTGCATTCGTTGGCCTTCTGACCAGGAGATCCGAACAAGAGTTGCCTCCCTTCCATGACAAGAGGAAGTTGGTTTCGTAAATGTGTACATATAAAAATGACAAAACATGATCAAAACTGTAAACGTTAGGTTACATTTAAAGTTATAATATCTCTTTCAGAGTGCTGATATTCATAAATTCAAAACGATATGAATCATGTTTTTTTTACGAAACTGTTTGTTTTAAATGAAATATAATCATTGTTACTTCCAATACAGCCAAAATAAAACTACAATCAACATATGTACCTCAAATAAAAACAAACTTGCCATTAATATTTCATTTTTAATTTTTTAATTATTTTAGCAATATTCCAGCTTTATTTGACGGCGTTCTGTAAATGATCCATTCTGGGAAAGACAAGCCAGTGGGTAGGGGTACGATGACACCCCAAGCCAAGGAGTATTACCATCCGATCACAGTCGTCGGCTTTTTCGACCAGCACAGTTAGTTGCCTGAAGCTACCATAGTATGAACGGTGTAAGCAAGTGTGTGACACTAAGGTGCCTGAAGCTACCATAGTATGAACGGTGTAAGCAAGTGTGTGACACTAAGGTGCCTGAAGTTACCATAGTATGAACGGTGTAAGCAAGCATGTGACACTAAGGTGCCTGAAGTTACCATAATATGAACGGTGTAAGCAAGTGTGTGACACTAAGGTGCCTGAAGCTACCATCATATGAACGGTGTAAGCAAGCATGTGACACTAAGGTGCCCGAAGTTACCATAGTATGAACGGTGTAAGCAAGTATGTGACACTAAGGTGCCTGAAGCTACCATAGTATGAACGGTGTAAGCAAGCGTGTGACACTAAGGTGCCTGAAGCTACCATAGTATGAACGGTGTAAGCAAGTATGTGACACTAAGGTGCCTGAAGTTACCATAATATGAACGGTGTAAGCAAGTATGTGACACTAAGGTGCCTGAAGCTACCATAGTATGAACGGTGTAAGCAAGCGTGTGACACTAAGGTGCCGGAAGCTAACATAGTATGAACGGTGTAAGCAAGTGTGTGACACTAAGGTGCCTGAAGTTACCATAGTATGAACGGTGTAAGCAAGTGTGTGACACTAAGGTGCCTGAAGTTACCATAATATGAACGGTGTAAGCAAGTGTGTGACACTAAGGTGCCTGAAGCTACCATCATATGAACGGTGTAAGCAAGCATGTGACACTAAGGTGCCTGAAGTTACCATAATATGAACGGTGTAAGCAAGTGTGTGACACTAAGGTGCCTGAAGCTACCATAATATGAACGGTGTAAGCAAGTGTGTGACACTAAGGTGCCTGAAGCTACCATAGTATGAACGGTGTAAGCAAGCATGTGACACTAAGGTGCCTGAAGCTACCATAATATGAACGGTGTAAGCAAGTGTGTGACACTAAGGTGCCTGAAGCTACCATAATATGAACGGTGTAAGCAAGCATGTGACACTAAGGTGCCTGAAGCTACCATAATATGAACGGTGTAAGCAAGCATGTGACACTAAGGTGCCTGAAGCTACCATAATATGAACGGTGTAAGCAAGCATGAGACACTAAGGTGCCCGAAGCTACCATAGTATGAACGGTGTAAGCAAGCATGAGACACTAAGGTGCCTGAAGCTACCATAGTATGAACGGTGTAAGCAAGCATGTGACACTAAGGTGCCCGAAGCTACCATAGTATGAACGGTGTAAGCAAGTATGTGACACTAAGGTGCCTGAAGCTACCATAGTATGAACGGTGTAAGCAAGTGTGTGACACTAAGGTGCCTGAAGCTACCATAGTATGAACGGTGTAAGCAAGTATGTGACACTAAGGTGCCTGAAGTTACCATAATATGAACGGTGTAAGCAAGTATGTGACACTAAGGTGCCTGAAGCTACCATAGTATGAACGGTGTAAGCAAGCGTGTGACACTAAGGTGCCGGAAGCTAACATAGTATGAACGGTGTAAGCAAGTGTGTGACACTAAGGTGCCTGAAGTTACCATAGTATGAACGGTGTAAGCAAGTGTGTGACACTAAGGTGCCCGAAGCTACCATAATATGAACGGTGTAAGCAAGTATGTGACACTAAGGTGCCGGAAGTTACCATAGTACATACATTCACAGTGTATACACGTAGGAGGGCCTTATTTTAAAATACAAATAGAATACATGTACCAAACACGTAAATCATACAGCTTACAAGAAACTTACACGCACATGTGACTGATGAATAGAAGAGCTATTGTTGATATTTGTGAGTCGGTGAGTGAGTTGAGTTTAACGCCGCTTTTAACAGTATTCCAGTTATATCATACCGTGTCTGCTTAATGTGGGAAGAAAGCCCGAAGTGGTGCAGGTCTCAGACGGCTACCACATCGGTGAAACCCACGAGCTCGGGTATGGTGCTGACAAATTAGCTGACACGCCGCGATAAAACTGTAATACTGTTAAAAGCGGCGTTAAACCCAACTCACTCACAGTCAATTTGAGTATAGGTTGCGCATAATCAAACATTTTTCAGGCTCCAAGACATAATGGCCGGAAGCCCAATTGAAATCACTGGTTTTCCCATTGATTCTATCATTGATTGTACTGAAATAGTTTCCGTGACTTTACCCTTGTACCAAAATGTGCA